CTACTGGAAACACCACTGCTGCTCCGACTTGTTCTTGTTCCTTTAACCGTAACTCTAAAGCAACAGAACCGGTAGTGAGGGACTATCGGGTGATAGGCCCGAACGATAGAGAGAGCAGAACGAGGGCTGATCGTGAGGAATCTTGTATATGATAGGTAAAACCCTCAATCTTGACTTTCTACGGCGGCATTCAAGCCAAGTTCTTCGACTCGCATGGGCTTGTGTAACGTCCCACTTTGATTTTAAAGAAATTCCGGACTTTCAGAAAAATCAATTTAAATTTTTCAAAATTTATTTCAAACCTTTGTGGCGTTACTCATTTATTTCAAATCATTTTCATGACATAATATCAATTTCATAACATAAATCATCTAACTCCCAACACGGGATCCATAAATCCGAACACGGGATCCATAAATCCATAAATCATCAACTCACCCAAATCGGGTTCCCAAAATAAAACACAAGTTTCAATGTCAACGGGGCATTTCCCCCATAGAGTCTCAACACTTCATAAAATCTCAGAGTTCGAAAATTCATCAATCATAAATAATCATGAATATAGCAAAAGCATAACCAATAAATAACCGGTCTCATAGACCGACTACCACTCGCTCTACTACGCCGTCGCGCCTGCCTTGCTTAACCTGAAACGTTAATTTCAGGTGGGATGAGCACAGTTGGAAATCGTAGTGCTCACCACTATGCAATAAACATTTTCATAGCATATACAGTAAAAGATATAGTATGATCACAGCATGTATAAGAATCAATCAAGTATCCCAAATTTTCATCATAAATTCACAGTGTTCAGACTCATGTGCACATATATACCAATAGACTACTGTCGGTAGATGTATCGAAGGCCCTCACTCAGGTCATGCTTCGAATGCCCCATGGGCTTTACATCTATGCCCCTCGGGCTTATACACCGAATGCCCCTCGGGCTTCTATCGATGCCCAGTCAGTAGGAGTAACCCCTCGGGTTTATTTTCATAAATACGGGGACAACCGTTCGACGGCCGGTACAGCTCACATCGAAGGTTACTTGATTCGTAGGCACACATCGATCATACACAAGTAAAGCAAACAATTTATTGCATAGACAATTTTTAATAAAACCCACCTGGTCGAAGCGACAATTCACAATCACGATTCTCGAAAGCAGGATGAGGTCAATACCTCAGAATACATACATTAAATCAAGATACTAAAATCAACACCTTATCTTGACTTAAAAAGAAAATCACAAATTTGACCTAGTCGAACTTGATTCGACTAAGTTGTTCGTGAAGTCCTGTGGAATTGGAACACTAGACTCGATCAACCAAACATGAGAGTTCACATAGTGCCACATAAGAGATAATCCAAACAAGTCTCAAGAACAACAAGTGAACCGGTTTATAGCTTTTAGCACAAAAACTACATTTTCGAAATAAAAGCCGGTAATTCACATAACCAGGTTGGTCAAGTTACCGAACGAGTTAAGATCTGAAATTTTAACCAAAAATCCACCTCATTGCATTTAGGAAAACCACCAAATTTCAGCCTTTAACTCAAAACACATGATTTTATAAAATTCTCACAAGTTTACAGCAAAAACGAACATAAATATACAACCAGACCTAATGAACAAATCATGACTTGAAATTTTAACATAAGTAGCTGTGAAATGTGATTAACAACATATAAAAATTTCAGCAATTAACATTAACTACAGAATTTTTTAAAAATTAAAACAAATTTCTGCAGATTTCAAACTTTTTATTAAAACTGAACCAAAATGAATCCAAATAAACCTCATCTTCTTACATACTGAAGCACATCAAAAAAACAAGCCAAGACACCAAAATTCAGCAATTTACCACATCAGGTCAATTTATCAAAATCATAACAAGGTTCAGCAGAATACATTATATAATTTTTAACCCTAGCAAACAAAGTCCAAAAATTCTGAAAACTTTACACAATCTCTAAATCAGAGAAGGAGATAATATATTCAAATTTCATCAATTTTGGAGCACAACTCAATTTATTATGCAATTAACACGTTTCTGCCTAGAAATCAATTTAATTAATTAAATTAGCTACAGGCCAAATAAAATTATGAAATTTTTACACGAGCATTATATTCATCAGAGGACATAATACTTAAAATTTTATGGCAATCGGAGTAGCATACAATTTTTAACGAATTAAATACGAAAACAGCAATTTTACGAGTTTGACAATTCATGTACGACTCGACGAGACTCGAAATTGTTCGAGGCCTTCACCATAAGACCAAGGACACGTCATGTTCCAATCCACAGCAACTAAATCACGAATTTACGAGGTCTCATTCGATTTCTCAAAATCGAAGAGCTCGTCTACACACAATAATCGAATTTAACCAACCGAACACATAAAATCATAGAGCGCGATAACGTTTTACATAAATAAACGAAAGGGGGTTGAGCCTCGTTACTGTTCTCATGAATGGATCACGATACGGTCGAAGGAGGGTCGAACGGGAACGACGGCTAACACGCGACGAACGAGGCGGCAATGGCTCGACGACGATGCTTCGTCTCGCGGAGGAGGGCTCGTCGCTGCTGCTAGGTCGTGGCTAAAGGTTGCTGTAGAGGGTGCTCATCGTCGCTGCTGGTTCACCGGAGATTGCTCGTGGCCTGCTCGCGGGAGGAGAGCAGGGACTCGCGATGGGGTTCACGCCGGGTTGCTAGAGGTCGCCGGAGTTTGGGGTCTGCTCGCGGAGGTTGCAGGTTCACGCGGAGGATTAACTCGCTGGAGTTTGGGGTCTCGCGATGTTGCTGTGCGGGGTCGGGAATCGCCGGAGGAACTCGCGAGGGTGCAGCACGCGGAAGGAGGGTCGTCGGAGTTCGTCGGGGTTGCTGCTGGTTCGCGGTGGTTCACGACGAGAGGAGGCAGCGACTCACGGTGTTGCTTGCAGGTGCGGCGATGGTGACGAGAGATGATGGCGAGATGAAGACGATGATGAGGGGTGATTGATTCATGAGCGAGAGTTAAGATTTGCTGAGGGATTTTCTGTTTTCTTCTGATCGGCGAAGGAGAAAAACAAGAGAGAGCAGCGGGATTGATCGAAAAAGAGGAAAAATATGATGAGGGTTACGGGGTGTGTTTCTGAGTCTGATCGAGCGAGAGATTAGAAATAAAGACTAGAGCTTTTTTTTATCCTTCTCCTCAAGAAACACACACACGCACGCACAAGGAAACCAAGTCGGGTTTGGGGGTCCAGTTCAGCCGGGCCGGGGCGTGGTTCTTGACCGAGTTGTGGGGTTTTCTATGTGGCTCGGGTTTTCGGTTATTAATAACAAAATTAATTATAATAATAATAACAATAAATAATAATAATAATAATAATAATAATAATAATAATAATAATAATAATCCCAAAATTAATTATTCATAAATAAACGGGTTTACGAATCGGCCAGTTTCGACTATCAGTTTATCGGGCTCAATTTCATAAAATCCGAACATATATAACGCTCGGAAAAATAAAATAAAATAACAATATTAATAATGCCGAAATATACGAAAAAATCTATTATTCAAATGGATTATAATCGATTCACGCGATTAAACCGAAATCGTCGAACGACGAATGTTTTTCAATAAAACAATCGGGTATTCCAACCTTTTATTAAAGTTGGCATCGCGACCAATAAAATAAATATAACCGTATAAATAATATTCGATAAATAGAATATTCCGAAAAATTCTATAAATCGAACGGGGTGCTATAGCTTGCCTCCGGTCTCCGGCCCTCGGTCCAAAACTCCCCGCGTGAATCTGAGAATCCAGCCAGAGTTCAATGTAGGGTTCGTGAAGGAGGTGCTTTTGTCGATACCTTCTCCTTCGGTCATTACAAGTTGCAAGCCATTTTTGGTTGGTGAAGAACAATTAATTTGGGGGAGAGAGGCCATTTCTGCACCGCTCTAAATGGAGGAGAAGCCGGTCGTTTTTGTGTGTGTTGAATCGAAGGATTTTGATAAGACATTCCATTTGATTTTTTTTTTTTTTTTTTTNTTTGAATAAATAGGCTTTACAGTTGTATATTCTTCGAACAAGTGGTTGGCCGACAAATTTTATTATAACTCTTCAGGAAGGACCCAAGTTGTGTATTGAATTTATATCCAAATACGGATTGTACAGTAAATGGCCGAATTTTCCCGATAAAAACCTGTAACCAATCAACGCCTTAGTATTTTTTTCCATTAAAGAGAAACAATATTTGGGCCAAGAGAGAATAGTTGGGCCAAGGAAGAAATAAGTACTGGGCTGAGTAAAAAAAAAACAATATTTTTCTAGTGAGCGTTTGATAGTTGCACAAAAATGTTATATGAAATCCACAATGTCACGCATGGATATGCACATTAAAAGTTCATAGATTTATCGTCAACGCGCTACAGTATGCACAATAATGTTAGACAATGCACATTAATGCTAGTGAAACTGCACATTTTTTTACCAGTTTCTTAATTAATTTACATAATTAATTAAAACCTAAATGCACTTTATATGTCATAATATTTCACATTACAATTAAAATGTTGCACAATTGTTTATTCAATTGAATGAATAATTCTACTTAGTTTGTACAAACAAACCACAATTTGGATTTGACACCAAAATGCTTGTTGTCGCATGGTGTTATTATTTAGAGCTGCACAATTATGCCTACAAATATGCATAATAGTGTTTTAAATGTTGCACATTATACTGAAAATCATTAACACTGATTATCGTTATTGCGATTGAAAATACTAATGGGAGGGATTGCCTAAATTCAACCGTACATTAAACCAAGTTAACTTTTTATTATTGATCAATTAATTACTTTCATAATCTCGCCGTAACTTCCTCAAATCGTAACAAATAATAAATAAATAAATATAACTAATACGTGGCTCGAAAGTTCATATTTCCTATTATAAATCAATTCTTCAATTCAATGGCCAAAAAATCCAACCGATTACCGCTGCACTTTGTCCCTCAACGCCGCCCACCGTATCCACCTCCTCCAAGGCCCTCCGAACAGCGACCCAACGCACTTCACCATCCGCCTCATACTCTTTCGCGTCTGTCGCTACACCGTCCCAGACCCGCCCGGTTGGTCCGACCTGACGTCGACTATCTCCTCCCATGACTCCAGCACCACCTCTCTGTCGCCGACCTCCCACGCCCCGACCCGGCCTGTCGCGTCATTTGGGCCCTTTTCGGGCCTTGGTGGCCCTGCATCCCGATTCAAATAAGGATCCAATACTTTAGCTATTGCCCCGAGCTCGACTTTCTCCTCTCGGAGCCCGACGCCGTCGTTCAATGCAGTAGGTGACCGACATGAAGTTCAGGTTAGGCAAGGTGGTGGATCTGACTCTGGCGCTTGGGGCAGAGCGGATCGGTGGAGTGCTGGATTTGGACGGCGGTTTGCCGATGCTAGAAACGTCGGCTTTTCGGTCGAAGCCTCTTGTGTCAAATTCATCTCCGATGACGGTGGAGCCGCGACGACGGGCTGGTGGAGGTAGGCGGCGGGGTTGATGGCTGACTGTCATGTTTAGGTGATTGTGTGTGTGTGTGTGTGTGTGTGTGTGAGAGAGAGAGAGAGAGAGAGAGAGTTGGGGTGTGGCCTACGTATGGCTAGGTGAGTTGTAATTTTGTACTGTTCGTTTTGCCCTTACTTAGTCATTAAAAATATACATTTGACCTCGACATGTTCACTTATCTACCATATTTCCACCTCTACCATAAAATCATTTTTATTTCTTTCATTATACTTCATTCTCATACATATAATTATAGGCTACCCAATTAATGCAAAAGCAATAAAATCAACCCATTTTTTTAGGTTAATTATGGTAAAATCATTATATTTTATATTCATTAGTTTAATTATATTTTATTAATTATTCTATCATATGATAGTTATTACAAAATTCAACTAAGTAGAATTCACACTAAATAGTATATTGAAATTATGAGTATAAAATTTGTAAAAAAATTTCTTCCAGCAATTACTCTAAAATAAAATTTCTATTTCATAACATTAGGCAAATTATTTTTAAAAGAAAATTGCTAATTGATTTTAGTGTCATAACTACAAACCCCTTCAAATCACATAAATAATAATAATAATAATAATAATAATAATAATAATAATAATAATAATAATAATAATAATAATATAGTACTTTAGTATTTTTCTAGCTAATTAATTAATCATGATGCCACAAATTATAAAAAATACATTATCTATTACAGGTTGTGCAATCGATAATAGTGATCAAATTTATAAAATTTGATATTAGCAATTCTAATGCCATCATCCATGAGAAAAGAAGAATCCTCAAACAAGGCCTTGGTAGCAAGCAACTCAGAAACACCTGTCAGTGGTAAGTATATTAAGGTCCATGTCTTATAGGCCCATGATCAACTCTATATATAATGTCCTTTTATATCAATAACAAAATGTAACATGTCCCCCTCTATTGCGGCTATTACATTACTATCCTATGTTGTTTTCTTTGTTTTCTAGGAAGCTCATAGTTATCCTTTGATCCGTTTTGGATTGTGGTCCTCATGGATCTCGTGTATGTTTTAACATTATCTATTTATGAGATTACTTATTGTCTGTTGACCACCGAATTGGAAATTATCATTATTCAGTGTTAAATGCAGTTATACGTCAGCTTAAGATGCCAGAATATATTAAAGATGGTCCTTTCGTATAAAAATCACTTATGGTGTCAGAATCACGTCCTTCCACCGAAGTGAAGCCCTCATTGACCTTGGATCACTAACCGACTTCCTAAACATCTATCGACGACACAACCCACCTCGGAGACAACCGAGTTCATCGAAACCAAAGCAGGTGACAAGGCGCCCATGCGATCTCCTAACATTTCGTGCCCAAATGTCATAATAATGGTGGACCCCACTGATAAAATCGCCCATTCGAAGTTACTTTTTAAGTAAAAATTCTGAATTATTAGAGGGAGATTATTGGAGGTCTCGAACTGCGTGTAATAAAAAGTTACTATATATAGTCTCAGATTCTCTCAGCAGAGGGGGATCGGTTTTTGGGACCACACTATATACTTTCACTTCGGTTACACGAACACGGATCGCACATCAATTAATAAAAATCCCAAATTATTGTTATTTTATGTTGTGAATTACGCAAATCTACGTTAAATATGTTGTTACAAATCCATACGACAACAGTTTGGTGCTAGAAGGAGGGCCTCATAAATATTTGAAGTTAATCTTCGATATACAGACGATATCCACTACTCTGCCATTGTTCTTCTGTATTTCCATTATGTCGCAATCAGGACAAGATCATTTCACGACTGGTGAACACACTCTCAATCCCAATCAACCCACAGGACAAGACAACAATACTCCGGCGAATCAACCTACTGAACGTGCCACAAGCATCTCAGTGACACCAGAAGTAGTAGCGCTCCTACAAAATCCAAAAATTGCGAAGGGGATAACCGCTTTGTTGGCACAGGTACTTCCCAATATATCACCCCAGGCTCCTCAAGGGCTAGTGGCAAATCCAGTGGAGAACGTCTGGCAGTTACAAGTAATACCACCACCTCCTCAAAATGATATCCATCCCGCGGCTTCACATGCTACGTCTCACCCGTGTGATCATAATCGCCAAGGTCCCCCGGTGGGAATAGTCCCGCCGCCAGACGGGCACAACATGCAAGAAGCTACTGCTGAAAGCCATCCAGGACGTGTTCGAAGAGACGTTGCTCATATTCGACCGATACCTCAACAACTTGACAATTTCCCCAACTTGCGGCAGCAAGTCGGAGCAAATCGTCCCAACCGACGTGAAAATTCGGAGAACGAGATATTGAGGAGACGTGTTGCTGAACTTGAATCAGAAGCGCGACATGTTGCCCACATGCGACATCTCCCGAATTTCTAGTCTTCGGACTTGGGCCATGTATATTTAAAAGTTGAATCGCCATTGGCCCCCGAGCTCACTGCGGGTCCAATACTCGGAAAGGTGAAAGTCCCTCAAATTGGACTGTATGACGGGACTTCGGATCCCGATGCCCATCTCGGTCATTACACTTCATGGATGGATCTTCACGGTGCAACCGACGCTATGCGTTGTCGGATGATTTCCCTCACCCTGGGGCCTCGAGCTCAAAAATGGTATCATTCGTTACCCCCACACTCGATCTGGAAATGGCAGCAGCTTAGATCATCTTTCCGTTCCCACTTTATTGGAACCCAGGTTTGTCTTATTCCTAAGGAATCAATTGCAAATATTACTCAACGAGAGGATGAAAGTGTGAAGGAATACGTAGCTCGGTTTAATGAAAGAGTTCAAAATATGGAGCCCTGCCATCCAGAAACCTTGTTAGTCTTAGCCATTGCCGGACTCAAGCCAAATTCTATATTTCCCTAGACTCTTTGTCAGAATAAACCGAACACATTCCAAGAATTTCTTGCTCGAGCCCAACAACATGTTATTGCTGAGGAGTCCATGTCGGTCCCTGAGTTCAGTATCTCATCGAAGGAGTCAAAACTCGAACCAAACGGACCGAAGAAGAATAAGAAGCCATTTGGAGGAAAATCCGGGAGACTTTCGTTCGGAGGTCACTCAAAAGAGGATTACAAATCCCCTGAAGCGCAAGCAGCCCAAAAGAAGTACCGAGACGACTTGAAATCCGGTTATGAAGCCGTTTTCTCAGCAGGGGCTGCAACCATTTACGAGGAGCTAAAAGGAAAAGGAATTTTACCTGATCCCCGACCAGTGAGGATACCTTTGGAACGGCTGGACAGTTCAAAGTATTGTGATTACCATAAATCCCCGGAGCATAACACCGACGAGTATTTTAGCTTGTTAGCAGCCCTATTATGGCTGATCGGTCATCCTCAAATCTGGAGGTTTTCAAAATCCTCCGACGCTCTGAGGCCGAGACGAAATTTTGATAATGTAGCTGAAGACGGTGAGAACGACCGAATTTCGAATCCGAAGAGGATCCGACAAGGCGATAACGAAGTTTTCACCTTCACCACGGATACTTCCGATTGTTCTCAAGACCAAAGCTTAAAGAGAGCTAGACGAGACCAATCTTTCGGCGGCAATTTAGATACCTTGCCACGAGTAAATACTAGTCGTGATACAAGAAGTGCCTCCAGACGTCAAGCCAAAGCCTACATTCGGCAAGCATATAATTTCGGAAAACAGATACTAACTACTGACCTCCGTGAAACAATAAACTTCAGAAATTGCCCATTCACGTTTAGCGTGGACGACGCTAGTCTGTTCGCAAATCCACATTCCGATGCCCTGATTATCACAGCTCCCATTTGTGGGATTCCGGTGCATCGCATTTTAGTGGATACAGGGGCCTATTCGAACATACTGATGCTAAGAGCGTTCGAGAAGATGGGCCTCGACCCGTCCGAGATTAAGCCTTGTAACGATTAAATCCAAGGATTCAACGGAAGTGTCACCTGTCCACTTGGGGAAATAACTCTACCCATTTGTTTTGGAAGTCAGAATGGCGCATCCAAGGTCATCATCGAAACTTTCAAGGTCATGGACCTGCAAAATGAGTACAATGCAATCATTGGAAGAACTGCTCTGTATAAGCTGAGGGACGCGGTTTTCATTTTCCATTATGCCATCAAATTCCCGACATTAAGCGGAGAAGGGACACATTATGGCGAACAAAAGGAAGCAAGAGAACTAATCTTAACCAAAACATCCGGGGAGATTCATGTCACCGATCCAGTCACATTGTATATGGCCACGAAGAAACCCCTTCATCTGAAAAGGACTCAGATGAAATCAAGAAACCTGAGATCGAGGTTAGATTGACTCATGAGGAGGCCAAAATTGAGAACGTGGACTTAGCATCCAGGGACTTGGATTTCGGAAGACGAACGGGCAAGGAGCCAGTCCGAGATGAAGATGACCTTGACCCCCGGACTCAGTTCAAAGAAAAAAGTCGCGGCGACTGAGTTGAACCTTGTGAAGAGATCGAGTTGGTATATGTTGACGAACCGAAGTGTAACCAAGCACTAAAAATAGGCGCCAATCTTCAGGAGCCGGTAAGAACCCAACTGATCAATTTCCTCCGGAACAACTCTGACGTGTTTGCATGGAAACATAAAGATATGAAAGGGATAAATCCAGAAATAGCGAGTCATAAACTTAATCTCGACCGAACCATGAAGTCGGTCGTCCAGAAGCGAAGGAAGTTAGGTCCTGATCGACAAAGAGCCTTGGAGGAAGAAGTTCAGAAACTTCTTGACAACAAGTTCATTAAAGAGACTAAGTATCCAACATGGGTATCGAATCCGGTTCTAGTCAAGAAGAGCAACGGCTTGTGGCGTTTATGTATCGACTTCTCTGATTTAAAGAAGGCTTGTCCGAAGGACAGTTATCCTTTGCCGCATATCGATTATATGGTGGACGCTACTTCTGGGCACAAACTTATGAGTTTTATGGACGCTTATTCCGGGTATAATCAGATTCCAATGGATCCCGATGAAGCCGAACATACTTTATTCTATT